TGTGTGTGTGTGTGTGTGTGTGTGTGTGTGTGTGTGTGTGTGTGTGTAGGGGCGGGGGTGCATGGCCAACAGAAGAGGATGTTGGATCCCCTGAGCTTGAGTTACACATGGTTGTTAGCTGCTTGACATGGTGCTGGGAACTGAACTCAGAGTCTAGAAGATCAGCAAGTGCTCTTTAACTGCCGAGCCCTCTCTCTAGCCCTACTAAAGACTGCCAAAAATTAGATTGAGTATTGAATTATTCCCACATAATCAAATTCTCATGGTGTCAAAATATCATCCCAAATTCTGCGTAGTTGTTTTGGTAATGTTGGCAAAACAAAGATTCTTAGGCTGGCCTTAAACTCGTGTTAGCCACCCTCAGTCTCTGTAGTACAAGGATTATAAACATGCAGCACTATACCTGGTTTAAAATCTGGTTTAGGCCGGGGCGGTGGTGGCGCACATCTTTAATCCCAGCACTTGGGAGGCAGAGGCAGGCGGATTTCTGAGTTCGAGGCCAGCCTGGTCTACAGAGTGAGTGCCAGGACAGCCAGGGATACACAGAGAGACCTTGTCTCGAAAAAAAAAAAAAAAAAAAAAACCAACCTTCCCCACCCCCCAAAAAAGTTCTGGTTTAGGGTGTGAAGATAATTGCAGTGTCATTGGCCAGTCAGGCTTGGGTTTTTTGTGTGGGGTGTGGTGGTAGGGATTGAACCTAGGGCCTCGCACATAAGCAAACATTCTGCCACTGAGCCGTATCACCAGATCCACAGATAATTCTTACATTAAACTTTTGTGTGTATGAGGTTTTACCTACCTGTATGTTTATGTGCCATGTACATGCCTGGTGCTCTTGAGGCTAGAAGAGGACACTGGATTCCATGAAACTGGAATTATATGTAGGTGGTTATAAGTTGCCCAAATCTTCTAACAAGAGTAGTATGTGCTCTTAACCACTGAGCCATCTCTCCAGACCCATCCCCTTTTGTGACAAATGATGCAGTATGTAGTATACTGCATTATTGTCTTAGCCACTGGTCTATTGCTATGAAGAGACACCATGACCAAGACAACTCTGATAAAAGAAAGCTTGCTTGTAGTTTCCGAGGGCTAGTCCACAATCATCATGGCAGAAAGCAGACAGGCATGGCTTGGCATGGTAGCTGATATATGAAGTTTTTATTGTAACTTTCTGGAGGCCCTAATATTTTGAGTTCATTTTTAGCTCTAGAGACTTGTAACATTTTAAACCTAGTGACAAATTTCTAGTTTTACCACCCTGACAAAGCTCTTTATACCATTGTAGTCAATGTTAGTGAGTTTTAGTGAAAAGTTTAACGCATGATTTGATAATTTGTAGTATTTTAATTTTAATAGGAAACATGAAATATAGTACTTAATTTTTTAAATTAATGTTTATATTAATATGTTTTTATTTTTTGAATTCTCTATACAAATATGATTTGGGGACTGATAAGATGCTTCAGAGGCCAAAGGCCTGATGACTTTATTTCACTCCCCAGGGTGGGAGAAGAAAACCAGTTCTTGTTAGTTGCCTCTGACCTCCACACTCACACGTGCATGCATGCATGCACAATTTTTATGTATTTATCGTCATTTTATAACTGCCTAGAGTTTCGTCTTTTCAATTCAGGTTCAGCTCTCTCCCAAGGAGATGGCGTGTTGGGGTCCCTGGTCAATAAGAACAGAAGTCTCCTCGTCATCTCTGTGGACTCTTGGTTAAGTGGTGTCATCTTCAGTGTCTTCCATTCTGGAAGTTCATGCCTAAGTCAGCAGCAATGTATGCTGGGAGCATAAGCAGTTGGAGGAACCGATCAGTGGAAATGTGAGTGCATGGAAGTCAGTCTGCCAAATTGTGACTGAGCACAAACGTAGAATTGTCATTTTCTTAGTATGTCAAGATTTTTATTAATGCCTTTAAAACTAAATAAAAGTCCCTTTTTTTGAAATCTTGACTTTATAGATATTTTACTTTGGGATATATACAGTGATGTTGAGTTGGTTTAATGATACAGAAAGAAAACTACTCAGACTTATTACTTGGGTAAAGGGCAATTTCTGAAGGTAGAACAGACTGATAATCCAAGGTTGGGGAACAAAAGCTAGCTCATGTTGCAGGGGCTGTACTCCCTCTCTCCCTCTGATGTCCCTTACCTCATCATGAATATTGCCTAACTTAATTGCCCATGCCAGTCTCTCCCCATGGTCCTGTGGTGCTGTGTACCATGTAGATTCTTACGGTAAGGATTGGTGTCTAAGCACCCAGGCTTCTCCCTGGCTTACTTACCTTTGAAGGAGGAAGTAGATGTGATCAGCAGTGTTACGCTGGAGATGGAACCCCCTGATAGAGCTCCACTGTTAGAAGACAGACCATGCTGTCCTTTCCTAAGTTTTAGCTAGGTAATCTAAATTAAGTAAGCTCGCTATGCGCCTGTCATATTAGTCATCAAGTAAGTGTTACAAATTAATGAATAGTCACTACCTCTAGTAAATAATACTTTGCAAAATATGCTCTGTGACTTGAGCTTTTAGAAGAGATATTGACCATTATAGATTTAACATAGTTAATTTGCAGGTTAAATTTAATCGTTTACCTTCTAACCAGACATTAGCTATTAACACTAATTTTAACTCCTTTTAGCACCCAGTACATTTATCTGGACTGAGGTCGTTCATTTCATCAAATACTCAACAGTATGTCAATGCTGGGAATTGCTCTCAGCAGAACTAGAAGGATGCACTGTATGCTGACATATAATGTAGTTCCAGGTACTTTGAAAGTTGAGGTAGTAGGATTCATCCTTTGAGACCAGCCTGACCAACATGAGACCACATCTAATACAGTAACAGCAAAGAAACAGGCAGTGGAGATGGCTCTGTGGGTGAAAGCATGGGGAAAGGATAGAGGAGGGGTACGACTGGAGGGTCACTGCGGGTTGCTGCCCGTCAGCCTAGCCCAAACCCACAGGTTCCTGGTTCGCAGGGGAATAATGCAGGCACTGACAAAGATATCAGTGATGACCTCTGACCTCTGTGCATGTGGAAACAGGCATATGCATACTCAAGTGTACACATGTACTCTATCATCTCTTACACCCAAAATGGAAAATAGCCTATGGGGGTGGTTAGAAAGATCTCTTTTGGTTCACGGTTCTGGAGGTTCGGGGCTGATGATTTTGTCTGGTGTGCTGAGCCTGAATCAGGCATAAGCTGCAAGAGGGAACCAAGCATGATTTCTGCATATCTTGTGTGTGTGCACACTTGGCCTCTCAGGAAGCCACCAGGACTCAGTGGGAGCTTCATCGTGATGACTTATCCTAAATACCTTCTGAAGCCTCAGCTGCAAACAGTAGATGAAGTTCCCACTCCTAGCAGCTCATGGCGGAGATTGCATTTGAACACATTATTTGGGAAATACTCAAACCATGGATGAGAGAACATCGGTAAAGGAAAAGGCTCTTGTGTAAGAATGTGTGTGGAGCCTGGAAGGGGTGGACCTCTGAGTTGGAGGTACAGACATGCGCACTACACCTGGTTTAAAATTTGGTTTAGGCCGGGCGGTGGTGGCGCGCATCTTTAATCCCAGCACTTAGGAGGCAGAGGCAGGTGGATTTCTGAGTTGGAGGTGAGCTTGGTGTGCAGAGCGAGTTCCAGGACAGCAGGGGCTACATAGAGAAACCTAGCCTTGAAAAAATAAGAATATGTATGAAATATTCAAGAAGCAGAAAGGAGGCCAGAGTGAGAGGACGGAGAGATGGGGGATGGGGTAAGCAGGAGCAAGGGTCAGGCCATGTGTAGATCACTGTGAGGTGGACAGCATTGGCCGTGAGCTGGGAGCCCAGAGGAGAGGGAGGCACAGGTAGAGCACGAGCTGACCTCCAGGAGGATCCTCTGACTGCACGGTAAAAATACATCACTGATTTCACGGAAGTGGGCTGACCACGTGGAACTCACTGTGTTTTGCAAGCGGAATTGCCAGGATTTGTCAGTAGATGATATGTGGTGTAAGAGGGGCCACTGAGATGGCTCAGCGGTTAAGAGCACTGACTGCTCTTCTGGAAGTCATGAGTTCAAATCCCAGCAACCACACACAAAAAAAAAAAGAGCTAAGGATAGCTCCAAGGGTTTCACTAAGCACCTACAGGACTAAAGGGAGAGTTTCAGGAGAGGAAAGCCTGCATAAAGAGTGCCTCAGTGAAGGGCAAGGTTAAGAGTTAGCTTTGGAGATGTGGAATGTCAGTGTCCAGTAGAGTTCAATAAACAGAGAGCAGGCTAAAGATGGAGATGGAGGAGGTAGTGTGGATGTGGAGCTTAAAGCCAGAGACAGAGCCAGGAGAACTCAGATCCCCCAGGGGTTAGGGGAGAAAGAACAGAGGGCTGAGCTGGAGCTCTCTTGAGGAAAACAGGAGCGATTGATACTCTAAGGGCCGCTGGGGCAGGTGTGTCCTGGAGCCAGCGATGAGCTCAGCCGCTGCTAACAGCACAAATTTGAAGGTACCGATGAGGAGGTCAGAGGTCACTGATAACGTTATGAATCAGCATAGAGGTCACGGTGATGCTAAAACAGCTGTTTTGTTGGTGGCAAAAGCTTGGGAGAAGAGAATGTAAACATGAAAGAACACTTACCAGTGCTTGTAAAGAGCTCTTTCAACCAAAGTTGTTTTTCCGGACTTGTTATATTTGGAGCTTAATAAAATCATACTTGATATCTATTTTTTTGTGAGTTTACAATTATTTTTGTTACCTGTTTCATTTGTCTATGCTTTGATGAAAAATTGATTTCCTAGGTTTTTTTTTTTTAAACTTAAAGCAGATGTGCTAAGAAGGTGCAGGCAGTGTTCAGAAAAGCAGCCTGTTTGACAGATTCAGGGAGTTGGGATATAGAGGATGTGATCAGAAACAGATGTAGCTTTGTTTTTTTGCTTTTAAGTGCTGAAGAATAAACCAGAACCATTGAATTCTTTTTAGAATTGTTTCTTTAAAAAAAAAAAAGACTTAAAAATTTTTCTTTTATGGGTATGGGTGTTTTGCCTGCATATGCGTGTATTTGTAACCATGTATTTGTCTGATATTCGTCGAGGCCAGAAAAGGACATTGGATCCTGGAACTGGAGTTGCAGCTGGTTGTAAGCCATGCTGGTACTGGAAATTGAGCCTGGGTCCACTGCTAACAGCACAAATTTGAAGGAATCACTACTGCTTTTAACCACTGAGTCATCTTTCCAGCTCCTGTTTCTTTTTTATTTGCAATGCTAGTGATCAAACCCCAGGCCTCACACATGCTGGAGCACTCAGCAGCCTCCCCAACTCTTCCTCTGCTTTATTTTGAGACAGTGTCTCTCTAGATTGCCCATGCCAGCCTCAACTTGTGCTTCTGCCTCAGCCTCCAGAGTAGCTGGGTTTATACACATGTGCTACTGCACACAGCTTACCCAGGCTTTTCTCTATCCATGCTACTAAATGAGTTAAATCAGTTGCCAAGTTATTGCCTCCTGTTTCTAAATTGAGTATTCACGATGGAACAGGCTTCCTGTTCTGAACAGGAATTGAGTATTCACGATGGAACAGGCTTCCTGTTCTCTCCCCTGTCATCCCTGCATACACAGCGTTGCGGCCAATAGAGGATGCTGCTGAGACACTGAGGGAGCCAGGGGCTTCTTCTGGTTCTGGAGAGCTGGGGGGGTCCTTGCAGCACTGGATCCATCCACAGGCACCGGGAATCACACACAGTGGTGGGCAGCACATAGCATTCTGAGGTCTCTTGCAGCCAAATTCAGCCCAGGAGCTCCTAGCAACACCAAGGCCCTAGCAAGCTTTGGTGTAATGACCTTATCCTGAAAGGCACTGCTCTAAACACCAGGGTTTCTCAGCCGAAGATGAAGAGCCTGAGTGTGGTCAGTTCCTCTTATTCCTTACAAGCCAGTCTCTGTAGTCCAGTTCTCAGAGCTAATGACTGCAAATTTCCCCAAACTTCCCCGTGGTAAGTATTCTTATGACTTCTGTCCTTTCAGTGGACTCTGAGATACAATACTTAGAACCTTTCTGAGTACAAAGGTATTAACATATCAGATAAGCAAGAAGATCTGATTCTTCAGAGGGAGGTTGTGTTACTCTTTTGATGACAAGTCACTTGTTTAATTATAAAATTCTATAGATGAATGGGTATTTTGTCTCTACATGTATTTCGTATGTATACATGGAGCCTCCATGTGACCGCTGAGGGTTGAACCTGGTTCTTTTCACTGCTGAGCCATCCCTCCAGCCCTTATTTACTTAAACTTTATAGTAATATTCTTATGTATTTTTTTGACAATGCTAGAGACTGTGCTTAGGGTCTCAAGAATACTCTGTAGCAGTTACTTCTGAACTACACCCCAAGCTTATATTTTACTTGAAATATTAAAATGACAGGCAATGATAAAACAAAACAATAATACAACAGGGAGAAAACAGTCATCAAGAATGCTGCCTGCTTCAGCACTCGGGAAGCCAATCAAGAATGCCACCTGCTTTGATACTTGGGGAAACCAATGCTAATTTTTTTTTAACCTTAGGAATATTTCCCAAGCTTTATTTTATAACTGAACAATAAAAAACATATATTTAAGGTGTTTTTATATACATTATGTATTGGAACATGGTCCAAGAATAAAGTCATGTGAGGAAAATTCTGAGTGCTTGTGAGAACACTCCAAGAAAACAACTCTGACTAGGTGACCTCAGTTTCTTCAAAACATGGAACTGTTCTTGGGATGTGTTTCATGCCCCTCCCACGTGTATCGGGTATGAGCGAGTTTACTTCAGTTACTCGTTATTGCTTGTGCTGTTATCAATTAAATGTTTATCCTTTATATGCCTCTATTGCAGTGGTTCTCAACCTCTCTGTGACCCTTTAATACTGTCTTAGTTAGGGTTTTACTGCTGTGAACAGACACCATGATCAAGATAACTCTTATAATTCAGTCTATTATCATTATGGGCAGGAAGCATGACAGCATCCAGGCAGGCATGGTAATGGAGGAGCTGAGAGTTCCACATCCTGTTCTGAAGGCAGCTAGGAGAAGACTGACTTCCAGGAAGCTAGGAAGAATGTCTCAAAGGCCATCCCCACAGTGACATACTTCCTCCAAAAAGGCTATACCTCCTAGTAATGCCACTCCCTGGGCCAAGCATATTCGAACTGTAGTGCCAGGGAAATTTTAGTGATCCCCAAAACCAGACCAGAGCCGATCTGATGCAACTCACAACAGGGTCTTTATTCTATTTGAGCTAGATCAGGCCCCTTAGTGCACCACCATCACACAGGACGGTTTTGGTGATGAAGAGGCCTGAATATCAGGGCAAGGCTTTATAGAAAGCAGCAAGGGTGGAGGATGGGTGTGAGTGTGCAAGCATCTAATTGGGAAGTTACTATGGCCTTTAACATAGTTGGCTGGTGCTGGGAGTCATATCATAAACTTAATTTCTGCTTCCCTCTGCATTAGTAGTTGTTAGGTGGGGGTGGGCTTATAACCTGGGGGTGTGGGTTTGTTGGGGTAATAACCTGGAGGCGCTGGTTTTGTTGGGGGTATAACCTGGAGATGCAGGTCTTCTTGGAGGTTAGCCTAGAGACTGGAGCTAGGTTCGAGTTTTGTTGTGGGGTAACTTGGAAACTAATACTAGGTACTGACCTGTTAGTTTAACTGAGTTCAAACTTAGGTCAGGTTCTCTAAAATAGAGTCTGAACCTAAAAGATTTGGCCTCTCAAAACCACCACAAATACAATTCCTTTGTTATGGTGATCCCCCAACCATAAAATTTTTTTTGTTGCTACTTCATAACTTTAATTTTGCTATTGTTATAATTCATAAATATTTATGTTTTCTGATGGTCTTAAGTGACCCCCATGAAAGGGTCATCTGACCCTCAAAGGGGTCAAGACCTACAGGTTGAGAACTACTGCTTTATAGAAAAGCATGTTTTTGCCACATGTGGCTTGTATTTATGATTGTATATAGCCTGAACTCATGAGAACTTTTTTCAGGTAGTTTTTCTTAACTCTCAGAGTATAAATTGTCTGATGCTCTAAATAAAGTTGACTATTCTATGAGCCTTTAGTCCACCTCATTTATTGCCTCTATTCTTCCAGGTCCCACTGCCTCTAGAGAGGTGACAGTTAGGAAATGACAAATAAGTATCACAATCAAGTTAATATGCCCAGAATTCCTTACAAGATTAAGTCATATACCCCAAACAGAGTGGATTTCCAAAAAAAATTATAAAGCTATCCTAATATATGTAACTCCCAAAAGCCTGTGGAACAAAAGCCGTTTTCTCTAAGCCCATTTTCCCTCTCACATTTGAAATAGATGAGAGATGGTGTAAGCATACAAGGCCACAACAAGACGTGAATATACCAAAGCCCTGCAAAAACTGAAGAGCATCTCCTGGAGAGAGTTAGCTGCATCCTGTCGTAAAGTCAACTCCTGTCTCATTGTGTATAGAACTGATTCAGTCCTCAAACTGGCCATTTCTTACTTATGTGAATTATTCCTTCCACAGTGTAGTTTTTACATAGATCAATGTTCCTTTCCCCAGTCCCTTGCTTTGACCTTGATAATGGACAGTTCTCTGTAGGAACTTGACTGAAGCTCTAATCTTTAGACAGGAGGGACCACACAAGGACTGCCAAGGCACAGCCCCTCATAGTTCAATGTAGGCATGCAGGTTCTCAAATGGTTACCAGCCTGATACAGCTCAAGAATATTCTTGTATATGCAATAGTAAGTGATTTGGTTTGGATTTGGATCTAGAGTAAAGTCTTGTTGTGTAGCCCAGGCTGGACTCAAACTTTTTTTTTTTTTTTAAGATTTATTTAATGTAATGTACTATAGCTGTCTTTAGACACAGCAGAAGAGGGCATCGGATCCCATTACAGAGGGTTGTGAGCCACCATGTGCTTGCTAGGAATTGAACTCAAGACCTCTAGAAGAGCAGTCAGTGCTCTTAATTGCTAAGCCATCTCTCAGCCCCAGACTCAAACTCTTGATCCTCCTGCTCAGTTTCCTAAGAACTAGGATGACACTATGCCTGTCTAGAGTGAAATGTATTAAAAAATCAAGTTTTTAGACCCGCCAGTAATCTTCCATAGCATCCCTCACTTCTGAATGATAGGAGAGAATGGCACCACCCACCTCCAGTGAACAGTCAAGCGTTTGGACTGAGGGTGTCTTTCCTTCACATCATTAATCACTTTCATGTCCTCTTCATCCAGGAGCCAACTGAGCATCCCGAGCCTGGTGAGGCTGGGCAGTCGGGACACACACTGACCCAGAGCCTTGACAGTGGTGGCCTGAACTTGAATGCATTCTGGGATATGCCTGGAAATGTCCAGGTTTTGCAGGTTTGGCAGGTTGTCCAGGACTTGAAAGAAATTTCTGTAGCCTTCCTCTGTAATCTTGTGATTCAGTGTAAGGTCTAAGTTCTCAAGTTTTTGGAAGCCTCCACTGGTTGCACCCTTGGCTGGAAAGAAAACAACAAAAATATTTATGAAGATAAATGCTATGAAGACTCGAGCAAAGCTTACAAGGCTATTTGTAACTAATCGCACACCTATCACTAATGAAAGTAGGGACTACTCAGCATATTTTTTTTCCCACAAGAGCAGGTCCCACTATATAGCCCTGGATGGCCTACAACTCACTTAGATAGCTGAGGCTGGCCTAGAACTCACATCTGCCTACCGCTGCCTTTTGACAGTTGGGATTAAAGGCGATGTGCCACAATGCTTGGCTTTACACATGTTTTAAAGAGTGTTCTTTGAAAGCCCTAAACGGCAGCCTCGTTGATAGGTAACAAGGCCATACTGCAAGGGCGAAGCAGAAACCAGGAAGTGGAGAACAGAGAATTTTGGTTGTCTGAGCAATGTGGTCTTCTGTACTTACAGGACACATGGCAAGGCAGGAACAGGTTACAGCACAAGAAACCGAGGGATTATGGGGGCAGTGTCTTCCCTTTTGCAGAGAAAGGTTGTCTTCTCACTGCGACTGTTTTCCAGTTTGCCCAAATGGCTTCCTGGCTACTTAGAGCTCTGGTGAAAATGTGGGCGGGACAAGCCCTAAGAAGATGTTTCAGCTGTACCCGAAGTAGGACTGGTCAGTGATAGGGGACATTTCTCACTACTGGTCAGTGATAGTCAGGGGACATTTCTCACTGCTGGTCAGTGATAGTCCGGGGTCATTTCTCATTTCTCTGAATGGCCGACTTTTTTTGAGAGAGAGAAGGACTGAGATTATTGCTTTCAAATATGAGATTCTCGGTCTGAGAAGTCCTTGTCCTAACAGAAAAGAATAAGACATAATATTTGGAGATGAAAGAATCTATACAAGTTAATGCTGCCCAATCTTCCTCTGAAGGAAAGAGATATGAAGCTTTAAAAAAATCATAAATTACACTCATCCTTTATTTTTTGAGACAAGGTCGTGTGCGTGTGTGTGCGTGTGTGTTGTGTGTCCGTCCAGAAGAAGACATCAGTTGTCTTCCTCTGTCGTAGTACTTCTTTTCCCTTGAGACAGGGGTCTGTCCCTGTACCTGGGTCTTGTAGATTTTCCTGCTCTCATTAAATTTGCAGTTATTTGCAAACAGTGCTAAAATTCTAATCTTCATGGTTACAGAGCAATCATCGTAATCTCTGAGCCACGTCTCCAGCCCCATCTTTGATGTCTTGATCCTCCTATTCATCCTGTGAATGTTGCAGTTCTAAGATTGCACCACCACCATGCCTGACTAAGTTACTTTTATCTTATTCTATTCATTTATTCATGTTTTCTAGACAGGCTCTTACTATGTAGAGCTGGCTGGCCTGGAACTTACTGTGCAGACCAGGCTGACCTGGAACTTACAGAGAGACCAATCTACTTGCATTATGTCTTCTGGGTGCCAGGATTACGGACAGGTGCCACCACACCTGGCTAAACTACCACTTTAAATAGAATTTATAAAGCAACAGTGCTGAGCAGTAACAAGATGAAACCTGTTTCTACCACACCCATGAAGGCCATCCCAGCAGGACCTTTACTGTCTTCTCCAGGTTCTCAGGAACCAACTCCTTTCTCTCCAGACACTCTTATGCTTAATTTTTAAGGTTCTTCAAACTGATCTGGTTCTAGGACACAGGTGATTTTATTATTCACGTGTCCTAACGCTCCTCTGCCAGCCTTGCTTCCCTGTCTTTACAGGGTCTCCTTCTCGAGAGCTTCCCTGACCCCAAATCAGGTTGAGTTGTTCTGCTGTAGCAGAAGCAAACAGTGAAGGAGAATTGGTCAGAATGGATTCACCAAGAATGCCCTAAGACTGACAAAAAGCTACCAAGCCACAGACTCTATCAGTTCTATAAATCCCAAGCAGAGTAACTAACTACCTCTAGCCATGTGGAACTCAGATATGCTGTTAGTTGGTGTTTGGCCATAACAAATCCCGTCAAATACAGTCACTTTGAGGTTAGGGCTTCAACATATGGACGTTGTGAGGACAAAATGAAGTTGATGTTGACTGCCACAAAGCAAAACCTCTACTCTAGTTCCTGATGCTCTGGATGCCAAAGCAGGGTAGGGGGTTCTGAGCCAGCCTGGACTTCATGGTGAGGCTTTGTCAGAAAAAGAAAGAAAGAAAGAAAAATCTTAAAAGCTATTGAATAGCAGAAAAACACACCCCACCATTAAAGACCTCCTAAAGTGAGAACTTTGGGTACTGACACTTAACAAAAGAAATGATACAGGCCAGAAACCTAAGTGAAAGTAACTCCAAAATAGAGTGCACTAGAAAAGTATTTCAAAGATGAAGGCAAAAGCTACTTCTCTATCCTTAAAATGGAAAAAAGTCACGACTACCTAACCCAGAGTAGAAGGAATGCTACCAGAGTCCTTCAGGCAGAAGCAAAGAGGCCACTGGTGAGGGCAAACATGGAGACTCAGGACCAGCAGTGGTGAATCGATCCATTGCAACAGGCAGAGACAGTGAATCCATACATTGTAGCAGGCAGAGACCACTGTCTCTGAGTGACTGAGGCACTAAGAACACGAGGTTACCGTCAAAGGTTTCCCCAAGGTGGTTGGTTACCAGTCTAGGCTCCACAGGAGACCTTGTCTCAAAAACAGCAACAGTAAAACATAAAGGAATCAATAAATCTAGCTTGTGAATGCTAACACAGAACTGTTTAAAATACTAATTGGAGGGTTGAAATGCATGTAAAAACTAAAATACACCACATGCAAATGGGTAGAAGTTAAATATAATTTTTATTTATTTATTTTTTATTTTTACATTGTGTGTGTGTGTGTGTGTGTGTGTGTGTGTGTGCCTGCCTGCATGCCACAGCATGTATGTGAAGATCAGAGAAGTCTTCAGGCTAGGCCAAAACCCCCTTACCTGCTGAGCCATCTTGACAACTCAGATAAATAAAGCTTATATATTCCAGGGGTACCTACCTGACTCATAAAGTGGTAAAAGAATTAGTATTAGTTTATATTCTTCAAATTTCAAACCTTATTATCTAAGACAACACTGAAAGAGGAAAATGTGGAGCTGGAACTCCACATGGCTATATAAGCCTTGATCCTGAAGCAGGAAGATGACTATGGATTCAAAGCCAACTTGACTTCACATTGTGAATTTGAAGCCAGCCTGGGCTACAGAGCAGATCCTACCTAATCACTCCTGAAGAAAAAAAAATGCAGTTAATAAGCTAATAAGTGTAGGAAGAAAAAACAAAGGGAAAAACACATTGGATGGAAGAAAGAAAGAAAGAAAGAAAGAAAGAAAGAAAGAAAGGAAGGAAGGAAGGAAGGAAGGAAGGAAGGAAGGAAGGAAGGAAGGAAGGAAGGGAAAAGAGAAACCAATACCAAATAAAAATACACAGAGGGCTGACACACCCCTGACATCCTAGTTCTGGGGAAGCAGAAGCAGGAAGATCAGGGCCATCAAGGGCTACATAGCAAGTAAAAGTCCAGACTAGACTAATAATCAACAGATGCTGTCTAAAAAAACAGGTGAAAACTTAACTATATTAACAATATAATACAGTAAAATAATATAGTATATTAAACATGAATAAAAAGATTAATGAATTGGGTTTTTATTTTAAAATTTCTGTGCATGTGTGAGTGTGTGTGTGTGTGTGTGTGTGTGTATAAGTGTGTATGTGGAGGGGGCGAGTACCATGTATATGTATATGTGGGTGTTTGTAGAGTCCAGAAATTAATGGTGGATGTCTTCTCAGTTTCTCTCCACTGTAGAGAGAATATCGTTTGTTTGTTTCTTTGTTTTTGTTTTTTTGTTTTTTTCGAGACAGGGTTTCTCTGTGTAGTCCTGGCTGTCCTGGAACTCACACTGTAGACCAGGCTGGCCTCGAACTCAGAAATCTGTCTGCCTCTGCCTCCCAACTGCTGGGATTAAAGACGTGCGCCACCACCGCCTGGCTAGAGAATACTCTAACCCTAACCCCAACCCTAACCCTAACCCTAACCCTAACCCTAACCCTAACCCTAACCCTAACCCTAACCCTAATAAATCTGACAGCCCATGGTTTAGGCAGGAAATAGGAGGCAGAAAGGATTCTGGGATAGTGTGAGGTAAGAGATTCACCCAGGAAACATGTGACAATCCAGACACATGGTACCTGAGCACAGGTAACCAGCCACTCAACAGAATATAGATCAGAATAAATAGGTTATATTAAGTTACGATCTAGTCAGAGAAGAGCCTAGTAGTATGGCCAAAGTATTTGTAAATACATTTTGAATCTGAGTCTTATCCTGGGAGTATGGGACTGGGAGGAAGAACCAGGCATAGCTTCTACACTCCACCTTACTTTTTGAGACCAGTTTTCACAGGAGCTCAAAGATTCCACTATTTTGTCTGGCTAGTAAGTGCAATGGACTCTCCTGCCCTCAGCTCCATAGTGTCTCCTCTTTTGGATGCATGCTTCACATCACACTGAGAGCTTCACTGCATAGACTGGAAGTACTTTACAGATGGCGCCATCTCTGCAACCTCAGATTTGTATCAGGTATTATTTTGGTGCTTGGGATTTTTGTTTGTTTGTTTGTTCTGAGACAAGACCTCTTGTAACACATACTGGCTCCTACCTTACTATGTGGCCAAGAATGATGACCCGGATGGTGAATATCCTCTTACTTCTACCTCTTGAGTTCTGGGCTTACAGATGTGTACCATGATAATCACTACGCCTGTCTGTATGTTGTGCTAGGGATGAAGCCCAGGGTTTCACGCATGCTAGACAAGTATTGTATCAACTGAACTTCCTGGAGTCAACTTTTAAGTCTAACTATGTAACTGTGGAAGAAACTCACCTTAAATTCTGTTACATAGAATAAAAGACAGGAAAAAGACATGAAAATGATACTGGGCACTTATCTTAATATACAAGAAGTGAGAATAAGGCAAGAAATGCCACCACAGATAAAGAGCACTGGCCTACCCTTAAGATCTTACAACTCTACATGTGCTGTGTGCCTCACTTGAAGATGTAAAAGCAAAGCGTGAGGGAGGTAGACAAGGTAGCATAGATCCGTTAATTGATTATTTATTTATTTGGGGATTGAGCATGGGCTTCTGGCATTGGTGATGATCTGTGTTCTAATTCTGGTTTAGTTGTACTCAGATAAAATCCCTAAGACCGTGAACTGGAGAACCTTGTTCAGCTCCACACTGCAGACTTTTATAGATTCTTACACATAAACACTCAGGTAATAAAACGAGTACCCTGCCAGGCTTGTGAAACACCAAGTATCGTACAGACTTGCCTAGGCTGTTGTCCAGGGGTAGAACACTGGCCTAGAGAGTGAGACACTGGGCTCAGTCCCCAGCCCTGGGAAAACAAGACCACAGACTGGATGCTTTCATAGCTCCCCAAAGAGGCTGTTGGCTTTCCCAGTCTGACCAGGCTGAACCAGAATCTGCAGAAGGGCATGAGAGGAAGCAGCATGAAGGAGGAAATGAGGAAGTAGACACCTGCAGCAGGCAGCTCCAACGATTCTGCTGGCTTCTGCACAAAGGAACCCCTTCTATACTCACCAATTTCCAACACACTGTCATCATCCAAAGTCTCTGCAAAGACAAGAACTCGGAGACACGGAAGTTGCAGGCATTGCTGGACAATCAGTTTAGCCACTTGGTGAATCCCATCCCCAGTGGGAAGGAACAGTTCCTCCAGGTTCCTGAGAGAACCCAGAGCCTGGGCTGTGGGAGACACAAGAGAGCCATGCTCAGGAGATGTTCCATCATGAGAGCCAATGACTTACACAGTCTGTAGTCCAGGAGGCCCCACCTAGCACAGGCCTCCTCATCACTGTCCTCTCCAAGGGCAGGAGAAGGGGTCAGCACACAGCTGTTCCCTGCTGCTCTCTGCGGCTGCTTCCCCCATCCTCCCTCAACCTGTCTCTTCACCCAAGTCCTCGCTGTCTCTCCATCTCCATTTCCTCTCCCACAGCTAGGCTTCCTCTGGCTGCAGGTCACTTTACTGACTCCATAAAGCCTTCATCCCACCCTTCTTTACCACCCTTCTTTACCTTCACTCCACCCCCTGCCAGCACCCCAGTGATTCCACCTGCACTTAGACACTAAAGCATGGTCCACCACTGTGACAACCCTCCTTCCCAAAGACACTCTTTGCTCAGCAGGATATTCTGTAGATCACATGATCACTAAGTCTACTTCCGAATCCCCATAGAAACTATTTTGAAAACTTTCTAGCATGGACCAATGTTCCAGATTTATCGTTGGCTTTCCCGCTTTCAGTTCTTGAATGAATCATGTCTCCACACACTCTAATTCTTTTAGGAAAGAGTATTTAGAAATCAAGTCCAGGTTTTTGGACAGTTGACACGGTGCTTGCTTAGCCTGCCTGAGACCCTCGGCGAAGGGATCTTGTGCACTGTGTGGATGCACCACCTGTCAATAAAAAGCTGATGGCCTATTAGCAAAAGGCAGGAAGTAAAAGGGTGGGAGTTCTGGTCAAGAGACTGGAACTCTGGGAGATAGTCAGAAATGAGAGATTCATCTTGAACTCTGAGGAAGTCAGACACATGAAACTGAGGAGTTGTAGCTAACCATATAGAAGACAAAATAGTTTAAATCAGTTATAAAAGTTATGAGCTAGTCAGGAAACAGGCCAAAGCTTGTGGACTAGGCACTTATTCATAAATAAATAAGTCCCTGAGTTGTTATTTGGAAACTGGGGTGCAGGTGGAGAAGCCTGCAGTTACATCCGGATTCTGACCTGCACACATGTACACAGGCACAAACACACCAAATAACTGAGCCTTGGTTTTGCTCCATTGTTTTGATAAAAAGCAAAGCAAGATGGGTAGCCAGCAGATCCACTGAAAACTCAGGGAGTTTCTCGTTCTTGTCATATCCGCTTAAACCAGCAAAATTGGATATAAAATTTCAGTTTCAGCATGTGCTGACAGCAGTTATAGTAGTATGCACAGGATATAAGTTCCATTTAGTTGGGTTAAATGATTTATTTTGGGCTTTTAAAAGACAGAGTCTCACTCTATAGTTCAGACTGGCCTGGTACTCATAATCCCGCTGCCTCATCCTCCCAGTCTTGAGATCGTGGGCATGTGCCACCACTCCTGGGTTCCAAGTGATCGTTCTCAAACGGGTGACTTAAGACATCTACATACTGGAAGAAATTATCCTAGCTTTGTACAGAAAACAAAACTGTTTCAAATAGAAAAGAAATAAGCAGTTGAACACTTGTATCTATTACTAGTAAAGTGCTTTCTGGTCTCTTTTGTGACTGTCCCAAGAGACACCTGTGTATGCAAACCTAGATTTGTATATATGTTTCCACATCTATGGATGTTTATGGAATAACAAACAATGAATCTGGACCAATATTTCCAATTTTTGGTTCTGTCTTTCTTCCTGTCATTTGAAAAGCTAATTAACATAGTGTGTGTGTGTGTGTGTGTGTGGTATATTTGTGTTGGTATATGTGTAACATGGTTAGGGGTTAGTGGTTAAAGGACTGCTTTTGGAAGTGGGCATTGTCCCCGTCCATCATATGGGTCCCACAGATCCAACTCTCTGTCAGCCTTGGTGCCAGGCCTCTTCCTTGCTGAACCATCTCCCAGGCCTTTTTCCTGACAAATTTATTTACAATTTTGGCAGACCTCTGTGAGGAAAATCCTCAAATTCACTTTGTGGCACTCATTTTTTTAAAAAGAAAAAATACTTCACTTCATTATGGATTTATTCTAAGCAGTTCATAGGAAGTCAAAGAATTGCTTCCTTATGTCTGAGACAGACTAGACTTCTTCTTCTTCTTCTTCTTCTTCTTCTTCTTCTTCTTCTTCTTCT